CACCAGTTCCAAGACTATACGGCGTCTGAAGCGGAGTGCACATCACATATACAGCAATCGGAGATCCCAATTGGTGAAATTATGACATATTCTGCGCGAAGTCTGCGGCAATTATGAGAATCATTCAATATTCAGGGGCGATTCTGCAAGGCAAGCTGTTGCAGATCCGTGATCTGCACGGGGAATGGCTAACATAAATTTGTACTTGTCTATAAGACTACACAATATAATCTACGAATAGAACACAAAGCACGATAGAAAGAGGGTTTGCTGAAAAACGCAAACATAGCAAAAACAATCAAAAACCAATTCAACCCGGGTTGAAACCAAAGAAATAATAATATGCAGCGCAAAATAAAAAAATAAAATCATAACCCATCAAGCGCTAAAGACAAACTTAAGAAAAATGAAATCATAACCCAATACGCGCTAAAATGCGCTTAAAATAATAATGCGTTGAGAAAACCAGAAGCCAAGAAAATGAAAACGTAAAAACTCATAAGAAAAGAAGGTCTACACTCTACAGCAATACCAAGATCTGACTCGAGACGGAACGCTTTTGACTTATCCATATCAATAGATAATTTCAAAATTTGCCAATCTAAATCAAGCGTCGACGGAAATAAACAGTGCCACCAGGGACGTGAGGTGAATCAGGGCATCGGGTGCAGACGTAGCATCACCTTGAGGCAGGAGCCTTTTCTCCATTGCAGAAACCAGCACCGCATTCGTTTCATTACCCTTGATACCCGATGTCTGCGTCAGTATCAACAGGGCGCTCATGTCCTTTTTCTGAAGCTTGCTTATCGCCACCTTCACACCATGCAGACGCCACTTCCAAAGGACCCCAGCAGCTTCCTTCACCACCACCTGACGCTGCTCAGCTTGGCCCTGCTCCTTCTGCACTTTCTTTGCAGCACGTTCCTTCCGTAGCGTTTCTTGCTCTTCCTTCCGCTTCTGACGCTGCTCAAGCCTATCTCTTCCCGCGCCGTACGTAAGGGGTCCAAGGCGAAAGTCTTCACCTCCGAGACGCATTCGATCGAAGTCATCGGCATCTGAATCACCAGAGTCATTCGACTCTGACTCGCCACTTGGATGATCCACAGAGCTGGCTGAACTTGAAGCATTGCTAGCGTGTCCCTGCTGGAATTGAAGACAGCGAGCATCAAGAGTGGCAGAGTCAGCACCAGAACGCTGTAGCCTCCGGCCAGCAGCATCTTCTTCTGCTCTCAACTCCCAATATAGTTTGCGGTTGATCATTTTGGTGGCTGGATCAAAACCGATCTCTTTCCAACCCTTGCGGCTCACGTCTGGGTGGAAAGCATGCTCCCATGGCTCTTTGATCAGAATGGGCATGTCGGCAGCAGTTAGGCGTGGTGGCTGGTTTGACATAACTTTCTGCACCAGAAGATCTGATTTTGCCTGCTTTGCCTCCCGTTTGAAGCGGGGGAAATTGGCAACATCAGCCACCTGTGAGATGTGGCTCGTATGGGGCACGCGTAGTTGAAGGTCGCAGCCAACTTCATCTGCCGCGTGAACCATCGGCATAGTGGTGTGTGCTCCGTATCCATCACAGAGGCCATACGCTCTCTTGCCTTCCTTCTTTGGCAAGCAGGGACCAACAACCTCTTTCAGCCAAAGTGGGGCAAGATCGTACGAAAACCCGCCGGAAGGATGAGGGTAAAACTGACAAGGTTTCCCTTTGCCAGTCTCCGGATCCATTATGGTCGAAAGCGGCGGGTTCTTCATAAGGGCTAGTTGAACACTCTTACTTGGTGGAGTGGCACATCCAGGCAGAGACTCTCCATTCATGAAGGAGCCGCCAGTCAATGTCCAGCGCACATTGGATTTGTTGGCAACACACTCTCCATCATCACTTGCATCGAGGACCATCGTCTTCTCTGTAGGACCGCGGCCGTCATCGGTCTGATCAAGAGTAAAACCAGTTTGATCCCATTCGAAAATCATATCTGGATCTGTTACGGTGCATATGGTGTCATATGGCTTTTCAGGATCAAAGGCTGGGTTCCGAATGGCAATGCCACATTTCACCAGACCTTCAGCAACAACTTCATACCAGTCACCCAGATGAGAACTGGTGGACCATCGGGCTAGATCCATCTCAAGACGTGTCTGATTCTTGACTTTGATCCCCCAGCGTCGGCGGAAGGAGTAATACCACCCCTGGCGTACCTCCTTGTGTTTGAACCGCTGTGCTAGCTCGGTGTCCCGGATCAGATAGTTCGCAGCTCCAATGAGAAGAGACTTTCCCGCTTTAAGCTTAAGGGCACGCAGTGTTTGCACATAATTCACCAGTTGAAGTTCGTAGCGGCGTGGAATAGCAGTGGCAACTTCACAACGGATGGGGGACAGAATGGAGGAAGAAGCGGCCTCAACATTATGGTTCATGTGATTACTAAGCTTGGCATGAAGAGTTGACCTACTCACAAGAACTCCAATCGATGCCAGGAGAGCGGAAGCGCGGCGACCATCCCGGGCGAGTCTCTTTCCGAACATTGCTTCGATCGCCCACTTGATGCCCTCTCGGTACATGCCGACCGTGCCGTGTGTGCCATACTTAGCATCATCGCCAAGACGTGTGCACTTACTCTCAATGACGGATTTGATCGCCTGCATCTCGGTTGCAGATGGCCAAGTCTCCGGTGCTGCGTTCTCTGAACTAGCAGCTGATTCCAGTTGAGGTGTGTCAGGTGCTGGTATCTTGCCACTGACTACCAAACACACTGCACCACTCGACTTCATTTCGTTCTCATACTTGAAAAACAGCTGAGGACTCACGCCATACGCAGCCGCCGCGTCTCTCTTGCTGGAAAACAAGTCTTTGGACTGGGGCGAATAGAAAGCTCTCACAGCGAGCAGGGCTTTTCGCTGGCCTTCGCCTCTTCCAAACCGAGCGACGCCTTGAGCGTCAGGACACGGGGAAACTGGTGGGGAAGCTCCAGGAGTCTCCATGCAGGGAGAGGAAAGCTGATGGACAGCAGAAGAACTCTCCACGACTGGAGTTGAGGGTGGGGAAGGCAACGATTCGTCCATTATTTCTTATTTTACTCAAAATTCAAAATTCTCATGCTACATCGTACCACAAAACCCTTCAAAATTCCGCACAAGCAAAGGCTATCAACAAGGCACCGACACGAGGAGAAACTACAACAACCCAGCTGTCGACTACAGGAAGAAAGGACTTCATCAACTCCAGTGACTGCACTCTACAAGCGACGAAAAATTATTTTACTCGAAATGTCCAGAAATGTACAATGTCCAGAAATTGCGACTCACCTCGTACAGAGTGCATGTACAGTGCTGCTCAATGGAATCCAGTCGCGTCACTCAAGTACGCGCCGGGCGTTGCGCAGCCCTAGAGCTGTGAACACTGGGCTGGGGAATGATGCGAGGCGCAAACTTGAGTGATGCGACTGGATTTCATTGAGCACGACTGTATATATACTACTGTGTACAGTGTAGCGTGTTAACGCATTGTAAGGGGCCATCCGTAATTATCAATCTTTTACACGAAGCGAAAAAGTATCATTTATGGGTGGGAGGGTCGAAGAGAGTTTCGTTTTGAAAATATTGATCGCATAACCATCGATCCATTTCGTTGTCAAGTCAATATAATTTTTTTTCATCTGGGGGGGGGGGGGGTCGGATGGTTGGGGAGGGTTGTAACTAAAAATTTTCGTTCTGTGAAAATTATCGATAATGCCAGATGGCCCCTAAAGGATACGTTTACATTAATTTTGGTAAGTCCTGAAAGCTGTGATTGCAGTGCTAGAAAGAAAGACAGACACATACACACACATAGAGGAATTCACATGGCATACCCAGCAATTAGAGTGCATCAACCAGAGTGCGCAACTAAGCAGGGGGTGGGGTGCGTAATTTGTTGCTTATAATATGTTCGACGTCAAGTTAAAGGTAAAATGGATGGCATGGGTCCTCTATTGATGCAGTGCATGTCTGTCTGTCTGTCTGTCCGTCCGTCCGTCCGTCCGTCCGTCCGTCCGTCTGGCCGTCCGTCCGTCAGTCCGTCCGTCCGTCCGTCTGTCTGTCTGTCTGTATGTCTGTCTGTCTGTTTCTTTTCAGCTGAAACGTGGCTGGTTGGAATGAGTGCTACACTGAGTAACATCCACCAGTTGCAGACGTTTCTCTCTGCGCAGTTGTTCACCAGCGACTTCCGTCCGGTGAGTACTATATTTCTACGGCATTCGGATTGTGTGTGTGGCATTCTGGGAGCTGTCCCTGCATGTCGTCTTTCTACTGTTCCATACCGGCTCTTTTAGCCAGCGGCTCCCATCTGCATGTCAACGTCATTTTCCCTGTCATGTGTGCTATGCTATGTTGATCACAGGTGAAACTTGAGGAGCATGTGATGCTAAGGGACGAGATCTTCCAAGTACAGGGCTCCGGTCCAGACGTGGAGTTGATATCAGTACGCAAACTCAATGTAAGCGTGCCATTTAGGCAGGTTTGGGCTGGTTTAGACCGGTTTAAGCTGGTTTCGGCTTGTTTAGGCAGATTTGGACTGGTGTAAGCTGATTTCGTGCTGGTTCTTCTTCATCATTGTATAACATATTCATGCAGAACGTAAACAGTTTCCTCCGAGACAAGATTGCAGTATCATTGCAGAATGTCAAATTAACAAATGTGTAGATTGCTGTACAAGTATCTTCAAGGGGCACTAGTGATCAGAGGTGCACGCTGAGTTCCAGTCAACTGTGCCTTCATGGAGGCAAAACCCAGTCGAGCAAGTTATTAGGGGGGGGGGGGGGGGGGGGGGGGGGAGGAGGAGATTTTTGTGACTAGTATGTTAGCCAATGGGAGAAGATTGCATTAGGAAATCAAGCCACCTGCCTACTGGTTTTTCTGTCCGAAACTCAACACTTGCAAGAGGGAAGATTGCGTTTGTACAAACACTGTCTGCATGTATTCCGACCAAGGCACTTACCCCCTGCTGTGGCTACATTCCTTGCATATCCGATACAGCACGTGAATTCACTGCTGACTGTCAGCGGCCGAATCGGTTGAGACTTCTCTAGTTGTTTCTGGTGCTGTGCCGGTTGTGCAGGAAGTCTAGTCAAAGCAGAGTGCATGTGTCCAATTCAAAATGTGAAAATAAAGCTACAGATGATGCATTGTTCACTTTGTGTGTATTCGTGGCATATATCCATGCTTGGACATGTTTCTGTTGCACATTGCAGGCCAGGGACCGCAAGCTTACCGACGTGACAATGGATCCGGACTGTCTGGTCTCTCTCGTTCTGGAGGCAATCCTGGACGAGAACAAACAGCCCAGTCACTCTTGTCTTATCTTCTGCGCGACAAAGAAGAGCTGTCAGAACGTCGCAGCTATGCTGGCTAATGTCCTGAGGAAGTAGGTTCATTTTCTTGTGGAAACCATCTAGGTTTGGTGTTACATGATTGTAGGTCTAGTTCTCTTTTCTTTTATTTGATAGGCTTTACTGTCAGCCATTTCACTGGATTTGTGCGTGGACTTGGGATCTGGCCTGGGAAACGGATATTTCATTCTCTTGTTGTTTCTTTCCTTCAACTCCCCCCAACTTAGGAATATTTGTACTCTTGCAGAAACGTGCTTCATGGTGATTCATGAGCTGATAAATATCTGGGACATGTGATAGCTCCAGTAAACCTTGTTCAGAATCCACTGGTATATTCCCGCCCAGCATAGTATGACTCCTTAGATAACAGTACATTGTGTGATGTCATGGCACGTGTGTAAGTGGTTGGTCTATGCCCCCTGTGTCTGTTCCATCCAGTCGTCACAAGTCTATCCTTGCTTACAAGTCATCACAGAGGCGTGCGGTTCTGAAAACCCTACGCAACGAATCAGCCGGCGAGTGCTGTCCCGTTCTGACGTCCACCGTACCCGCCGGTGTAGCGTATCACCATAGTGGACTAACGGCGGATGAGCGCAAGGTCATCGAAGAAGCATTCAGCAGTGACCTATTGTGTGTACTCTGCTCAACCACAACACTTGCTGCGGGTGTTAACTTGCCGGCCCGAAGGTATCTATCACTACTAGCTCACAGTTGTGTTTTGAACTTTTGAATGTAGCATATTGAACCAGTGTTTGCGGCTGTGTGGTTGCCAAGAGGTCGTCCATGAGCAGAATACTTGCATGTTTTGCTCTCAAACTATGGTTTTCTCTTGTGCGCTTGGTGCAGCCAGGAAGACTGTGATAAGTTCCTGAGAGAGAAGTTATAATTAAATTATGCAACGGCGCGATTGATAGTGTAAACTCCGAAAGTGTTAGGGTTCACACTATCAAAAGCGCCGTTGTTGTCAATGATGGCAATGCCCTGTCAGATGACTCAAGAGGAATGTCTGCGGTATACATGCAGTGGAGTTTACTTGGTATGACTTGGGGTCCGAAAGTCAGCATTGTCCTGACCCCGGGCTGGCTGTGATGTAGCACTTCCAAGCCCTATTCCCTCAAACGACATGACACCGGCGTTTGAGAATACTGGAAGCCATAATACTGCAACTTGCTCCTTCTCGTTGCGTTGTGCGCTTTGCCTCCTCGTAAGCTATTTTGGCTATCGTCGTTCTTGTTGCTGCTTCAGGGTGATCTTGCGTTGTCCGCTGGTGGGGCGTTCCTTTCTCTCCCTCAGTCAGTACAAGCAGATGGTGGGTCGTGCTGGTAGGGCTGGCCTAGACACCACTGGTAACAGTATTCTCATTCTGCAGGACAAGCAAGCTCAGCAGGTTGGTGCTACAAGTCCAAGTTTGTCTTGTGTTGAGGAATAATGGGAAAGAGAGCGGGTCTGCTCTAAACTTCTTCCTATGACTGAAGCTATAGGAAGCCTCACCCCTGCTACTGTGAAATAATCTTGCTGGAGAATTTTAAAATTCAGCAGACCCTTGACTTAAAATACTTATCTCAATCATGACATGTGCTTTTCACTTGTACAATGTACATGTATCTGAAAAGTTTGTCTGTGTTTCGGCATTGGTGCGTTTCAGATGCTGTCCGTCCTGCAAGGTCCGTTTGCCAGTTGCGAGAGCAGCTTGCTGAGTGATGGTGGAAAGTCCTTCCGGCGCTTTCTTCTCTCCCTTATCGGATTGAAGGCAAGAAGTCTGTGTGTTTGTGTGTGTGTGTGTGTGTGTTGCGTGCATGTGTGTGTATGTGTGTGTATGTGTGTGTGTGTGTGTGTGTGTGTGTGTGTTTGTGTGTGTTTGTGTGTTGCGTGCATGTGTGTGTGTGTGTATGTGTGTGTGTGTGCGCGCGTGTGTGTGTGTGTGTTCCGTCTTGTTCTGAAGTGTGATGTGCCCCAGAGGGGGGTCTTCTTCTTTTGTGTCCAAGTGAAATATCCACGGATCACTTTCTCAGCTGATACATTCATGTACTTGTATATCCAGAGCAAGTTGGCACATAGCTTACTTCCACCGTGCGCAAAGTTGACATGGTCTTCTCTTGCTGTGTTCGTGTATAATGTATGGTGCAGGTTGCTGTATCAGATGAGGATATCCAGGATGTCATCGGTAAAACACTATGGCACGTACAGTGTGCTTCGGAATGTGACTTCCAGGCCGAGGTAAATAGAGATCTGAGTAGATGGAGTACATGATAATGACAGTTGTAAAAACGTGTAGGACATTATTATTCCACAATCACGATGACATAGTGCCAATAAACATGTGATGCGGGCGATTTTAACCAGACATGGGTGCTGCTTACACCGCTCTTAAATCTGTGAAGCACCTGTTCTGCTCAACAAAATCGTATGGTATGCTATGGTATTCTTTGTTTTACTTTATCAAAGGAACAGGCAATTATGCCTTCTTGGGTAGCAGCAAGAGTCCATAACCCCCCAGAGTGTGCAACTCGTGATCCTTCTCAGCACAAATCAGTGCCGCAACGAAATCCAAACTTCATACGTCATGTAGTGAGTAGCTATGACGAAATGGGAAGTTTGGCCCGGACCTACTTCGCCCGTTTGCCCAATTTGGGGTCTTTCTTTACGAATCCACGGCCAGGTATTGTACGTAACACGCCTGGAAAGGCTCAAGTACACAAAGAATTATTTTAGAGTTATCGAACAGTTTTCTCTTTTGAGTGTCTCTCCGATAAGAGAAGAACAATGGCCACTGTTGAACCTAAAGCAAAGCGCTCCCCATTGTCGCCGGAGTGCAGTGTCTCTGTGGACGATATTCGTCAGTTTTTGCTCGATCTGGGCTCCTCCTTTTCTTTTCTCGATTGTCGAGATTGAAGCACATCTACTTCGAAATCGATCGGGTCTTCATGCCGTGTGCCAAGAGCTATTTCCATCAAATCTTGTAAATCTACATCCATGCCTATTCTTGCTATCCCGGAGTCACGAACTCTCCCAATACAAGCTTTTCAGACAACGAGCAGAGAAACTCTCTTCAAATAAAAAAATTCTGTGACTGTGAAATCAAAGCCGTTCTGCTGACACTGCATAGCCCGTGGAGCAAACATTTTACGTGACACTTCCGTGGCTTGCTTCAAAGCAACCTTCAACTTGGAACCCCCGCTGGATGTACCAGATATGCACATGGCCCCATGCTTGCCCGGGGACCGGATGACGCAATGTTTGGATTTCGTTGCGCCAGACCCCAACCTGGAGTTGCACACTCTGGGGGGTTATGGACTCTTGGTAGCAGACATGTCATAACCCTCCTGTCTCAGGGGCATGACGGTAAGCCAACTGGACGCATTCCCTTCAATGGTCCGGGTCAGCGGTCCTCGCTCTCCTTGCGGCAAGGCAGCTACGATAGCCTTGCTCTTGTCATCCGGCGAGTGGTCACGCTCAAGACTGGCTTGCTGGGTAACACAGCGGCAGTGGCTGAGATGGTCAGCGATTGGAACTGGCTCCTCAACCAGCGGATGGCCTGCTGAAGAATTGACGATGCTTCCTGCGAAACTTGGACAGTGGTGCCCGTATTTTTGTGGCCGTTCTTTGTTACTGTTTCAGTTGCAATCATGTTGCCATGGCAATCAAAACGCGCCTTTGTTCACGAGTTACTAATTCGGACACGAAACAAAATCAATTTATCTTTCATCAACACAGGCTTATGTCATGTTACATTACATGGCAGCCCGGCTAGCTCAGTCGGTAGAGCATGAGACTCTTAATCTCAGGGTCGTGGGTTCGAGCCCCACGTTGGGCGCTTCCTTTTTTTTCTTCATTTTTGAAATATTTCCCCTTTTTATTTTAAACTGCTTTTGTATGAAGGGAATGTGATTATGGAGTGTACTGTATTTTCGGCAATACTAGCCAAGGCGGCGCTTAGTAGTTTATGAGCCCTGAAATTTCACCCAGTTTGAAAAAATCTACACAAAACCCTGAAAGGATGTGATGCTTATTTCAGACAGGCGGTAATGAAAGACCGGCCCTAGTTCCAGAAAACACGGTATTGACCCCTTTGGGTGGCGTCTGTTGCTGCTGTATGTCGTCGTCGCGGGCGCATCCAGCATGGGGCGCATGACGTCATACACACTGATTGTGTGTGTCTGTTGGTTTCTGCGCAGATCACCGGTAACCTGCAGCTACTGCTGAAGAGTGGTTTCATCCGGCGGCGGCCGCAGCCCAGCGACGGTGCTGCTGCTGCTGCTGCATCTGCCTCGGTGGTGCTCGGCAGCACTGACGGCGCCTCTCAATCCCAGAGCCTGATGGCGAGTAGTGCTACTCTGTCATTACCTGCTAGCAGCAGCTGTCTTGGTCCCAACACACGCTACTACTACCGGGCAACGACGCTAGGCATGGCTACTATGAAGGGTATGGAAACTAGACCAAAAGTACATGTACATTCCCCGTATATTCTCTATTATAACTTATTAGCGTTGTGCTTACATTTTTTCAACACCCTCTACCCTGTGCGTGTACTTCACCACCTCTTGTGGTGAAGTACATAGTGTTGAGGCTGCTGTGAACATGTTATTTTCAGTGTAACTTTAATTTCTGTGATTTCGGTAGAGAAACCAGGCACCTAAATTTAAATTACACCTAAAAGGCACTAGAGTATGTACTGTATGTGAAGGGAAAGCTGGTCACCTAATTCTAAATTACACCTGAAGCCTGGCAGGTCCCTGACACCGAAATTTTAATACACCTAAAATTACATGTTTTACAGTATGTTCTGGTGGAAGAAATTGAGTCATCCCGACTCAGCTAGTGCTGGGCACTGTGAAGCCCAAGTCCTACAAACACTGGTCTGTGCACAGGCACAGGACTCTACCATGAGATAGGGTAATATTGAACTGCACTGCTGTTCATCTTGATCGTGTTATGATTCGATGACATGGGGATGTTCTTGATGTGGGTACGTTCTAAGCTTCAATGTATTTTTTTAAAGTTTAGAATGTACCATGCCAATGTCAAGAACCCATATTGTGTGTTGATTGTGACCAGGCTCACTGGATGTCAGTGTGGCACCGATTGCATACCGTGACATGCTGCGTTCACTGCGTACCATCAGCCTATCCACAGATCTACATCTGCTGTACCTGGTGACGCCGGTGTCTGAGACAGTCAACTTGGAGCCCGACTGGATGGTTTTTCTCCGAGAAGTAAGTACTTGTAGTTATTGATTGCTGTATGTGTTGTTGTTGTTGTTGTTGTTGTTGTTGTTGTTGTTGTTGTTGTTGTTGTTGTTGTTGTTGTTGTTGTTGTTGTTGTTGTTGTTGTTGTTGTTGTTGTTGTTGTTGTTGTTGTTGTTGTTGTTGTTGTTGTTGTTGTTGCTGTTGCTGTTGTGACCTCGAACTGCAGGAAAATTGGCCGGTGTGCATCAGTAATGTACTTCAAAGTAAACAAGTACATGTCGTCAATTTCTTGTCACCATGGACAAGTGACAAAGTGGTGATCGTGCCAGGTTTCACCATCACAGTATTTCAGCTTATTTGTGACATTGACAATGTTGTATTACTGCCCGTGTTCTTGTGTAGGTGAGTAAGTTACAGACAGAAGAAGCTCACGTCGCATCTATCCTGGGTATATCGGATGCCTGCCTTACTCAGCGAGCGACCGGACGATCCAATGCTGGAATGGTACGCGCTGTTGTGATCCTAGTAGTTGCACTGTTGCACTGTTGCTTGTCAGTGATCATAGCTATGGTGCTGATTGTGATATCACTGGCGGTGGTAGTTGTGCTGGTGCTGCTGGTGCTGTTGCTGCTGCTTCTGTTATTGCTGTTGTTGTTGTTGTTGTTGTTGTTGTTGTTGTTGTTGTTGTTGTTGTTGTTGTTGTTGTTGTTGTTGTTGTTGTTGTTGTTGCCGCTGAGATTCTTGATGGTTTCCTACAGTTCCTCACTCACTGGCCTTAAAGCTAATGTTTTCGACCACTACCTTCAACCCATGCATGTTTGTGTTCTTTCTCATGTTCATCAGTCCGCTGCCCAGGAGATGGTGTACCGTAGGTTCTACCTAACACTTCTGCTGCATCACTTGCTGAAAGAGCGCAGCGTCTGGGACGTGGCAGCCATGTTCTCGTGTTCGCGAGGTTTCGTTCAGAACTTGATGTCCTCGGCGGCATCCTTTGCATCCTGCCTCCTACACTTCACAGAGGTGAGTGTAGGATTCATCTCCCCGTATTCCTTTTGAGAATGCTTTTGTTGGCAAAAATTTTACGGTTCGCGTGAGACTCGGTTTCTCTATTTAGAGGCCGAGTTTTCCGCATCCGTAGGAACGCCACCACCCTTCAAGGATCAAGCTGCAGATGCAGCGGGTGAGTAGATCAGCTCACCAGCATGTGGTCAACGACCGAAAATCCCATTCACTGCATCCATGTTTTCCTCGTGCCAGGCCACGAGTTCCCAATTAACTGTGGGTCGCAGCACGGCTGGAAAAAATCCTTCCGCTTCTTTTTTTGTTGGCAATTGGGGTCGCAATGGCCGTATCATGAACATGTACTACTTGTTCTGCTTCAATGGCTTTGAACTATTGAGCTTCTTGTCTGTGATCACGCCCTGTCCGTGTCTGTGTGCACCCCCAGGGCCTGAAAGAGCTGCGCTACGTTCACATCCTCTTGCCAGACATCGTGCGACGCCTGTCGTTTGCTGTGCGTGCTGAGCTCATTCCACTGATGGAGATTCCAGGAATACGTCAGGTTCGTCACGAATCGTGGCACGTATAGGCCGATGCGTGCAAGATCGTGTTTTCGGGCCAAAATGATTTTTATTTATTTATTCCCTATCCTATAGCATACAGTTGCCACAAAGGCCACAATGGGGAGGGGTAAAAACCAACTAGTGCTGAAAGCTGGACGTTAAATGTCTCTGAGGCATGACATTAGCTTGGTGGCTTAAGGAAGAAGGAGCGATTCCGAGAAAGCCAATACATTTAAAAGAGCTAGTTTCACCGTGCAGTTGTACAAACTTTGTTCAACTTCCTGGTTTCATACATCCACTTGCGCAATTGCGTAAGGTCAAACGTTTCCTGTATATTGCATGTAAAATTTTAATGGGTTAGCACAAGAGTACATAACCCCCCAGAGTGTGCAACT